CCTGGCTTGACTAGGATTTGAACCTGTGACCACTCTCAAGTGGGTAGGGCGACTTAACCATTCGCCCTATTAATATAACTTGAAAATAAATTAATATTTTTATTTAAAAAATGTAAAGAAAACTCTTTGTTGTCGTGTCTAACCATTATTATTATAATTATAATGCGAATGAAGTTGAATAATCTTAATACAGCGATGATGCCCACTGTATAATGCTTGTCGCTGCAACTTAAAAATAGGATGTAATAAATAAGGAATGATGCGATTCTAATTGATGTTAAAGGATGTTCAGAGAGGCATAATCAGTCTAATGAAATTTATCGACGGCGTCGCTTTTCTCGGGACTACAGCAGCGTATAAAGTATATATGTATATAATTTTTCATTATCGGTGAAGAGAGTTCACTAATAATAGCTGTCAGATAATTCTCTGCCGACTTGACGTTATCAGCTGGAAGGCCCGATGATTTACAACAGGCGTCCATAGACCATCGCCGCTGATTAAATATTTATAGGAGGATGCATACCAAACAGAAACGACAAACAACAACATCGGTGGTATCGTCGCTGCTTTTTCTATGTATCCTTCTACAATTATTTCTCTCCTTTTTTTTCGTGAATATTAAAAATGGCCGAGTTAGTTTCCGTTCCGCACTTAAGCTACATCCTGCATGCGCCGCACTCAAAGGGGAATCAGACGCAAAAGTATTATAATTAAAGCGTGGAAAATGCACATCCGCCTGTGAATGGGATATAAGGAGGAGCCGGGAATAAAAGAAGAAAACAACGTAGTCGGGAGGGCGACTTGTTTTCCACCCGTACACGGTTTTCCACCCGAAGACACAATAAGACGCTATCGGTTTTCTGAAATGGATTCGCGCGGATTTCCATATATAGTAAATGCCACGGAATTGGAGAAATCCACTTCTGCACTCTCTTCTTATCCAATCTGCCAGACTATGGCTGCGGTCTATAAGGAAGAGAACTATTTCGGTATTCATTAAGCGGATTCGATCTCTGCGTGGACGCTCTTCGGATAGCACCATATTATTCGAGATTTTATCTCCGGAATTCAAATAAATTAAACGGGACGACTAACAGACGGAAAAAAAATGTAATCATTTCAGTTACGCTAATTAGAGAATTTATTTTTCCTTTCGTGCCTGTATCGTGCCCCATACTCCTCGCACTCATAACAAACTACAGTAGCATGAATCACGATGATTCCACTTTAAAACATCCATATTCATTTACAATCGCAATCACCATAAATAAATAAGAGATATAAAAGTGGAGTAAAACATTTTATTCTACTTTTTTAATATCAATATTTTTATAAAATTATCAGTAGTAATAATTTTTGGAAAAATTCAAACTCAAGAGTTTCTATCAATACACGTTTAATTAACTAACTTAATCATTGATTAATAAATATTCTAATACGTCATGTAGTATTTATGGTTTTACTCAAAACTAATACTAATAAAAATTGCAATGTTTGATAAAAACATTTAAATTAATTTTAAAGTATTGAAAAATATGATGAGTACTAGTAATATTATTATTTATAATTAAATGTAATAAAAATATATTGATTAATTATACAAGTATTAAAGGAAGTATAGAGCTCTGGGACCCTGAGTCCATTTATAGAAAGATTGGTTAACTTTTCTGTTTTATTTCTAGGAAATATGTCAGGATGGCGATAAGTATAAATACTTTGTTTATAGTCTAAGGAAACGTTATGTTCATATCTTTCATTCTAATAAAGTACTTGATTATAAAACTAGTAATGTTTTAAAAACAATAATTTTATTTATAAATTTATTTTGTGTAATAAAGAAAGTTTTTACATAATTTAAGGGTATTGTTTAATTATAAATGAAATTAATGGGTCTATCCCGAAAACGGAAATAGTTCGCTTTTTTCTCTATTAATATATGTCGGGATTTCGATGTAGACCCATTTTGGCCAAGAGGGAATTTATTTCAAATATAATTAAAAAAAAATCATTTATATAATTTCAAAAATTCATAGTTTCAATTTGAATTGGAAATATATTTAATTCTAAATTATTTTATAACTAATATTTTTAAGAAACATTACTCATTTTAGTATAAAGTAAGAAATAATATCATTTGCGTTTTATGTAAAACCTAAAGAGCTACAAAACGTTTTCATGAAAATTAACCGTCTGGAAATCGTAGTTTTCGACCAGAAACCAAGTTAAGGTCGACCATCGCAGTCCCTTCCTCCTATTAGTCGCACCCGCACGAATTAGGCAACATTCTGAGGAAAACTTAATTCGCTTTAATGAAATATATTCCGAGGGATTTGCTTCCTCTCTATCTCTCTGTTTCTCTGGATTATATTTAAACCTCTCAACGCGCACGGATGAAAGTTTTAGGAAATTAATTAAAACAGATTCGCACAATGAGTATTTTTACGAGTAATTAGTTTTTATTTGAAGTAAAATTTGTTTAAATTACTCACTCACTAACAACAAATACAATAAAATATTTAACCATTCTTGGTAAATATTGTTACTAAATATGTCTTCAATAAATTGTTTACTTCTATTGTTTACTTATCTACTTTTCTATTGTCATACATTTTATCTAGACTGTTAAGTATATTATCTACTAATGTATTTTACATTAAGCGCTTATGGATAATGAAAAAATATCATCGAAGAAAAGGATAGTTGTGAGTCAGATTATAAAATTTTATAATTATGTACGTATACTAGAAGTATTGCTTTTATCATCATATTTCGTAATTATTTTTGTGAAGATAGAAGATTATTTCTTTGCAAAATATAAATTTTTACCGCAAATGTTCAATATATTTTATATTTAAAAAAAAATGATATTGGATATATTGTATGCAACAGACAATGTAAATGTTATATATGCACACAACATGTGGTTTTGTAGCGTAATACTTTTCGAAGAATTATTATTATAATGTTTAAGAACACATGCCATGTTAACAACTTAATTACGCCTTTGCTAGTGGCTATATTAACCGAGCGTTGCGTTTCAGGCAATCTCTTTTTTAAAGTTTATGTTATACATAACATTCAATGCTAATTTATCTATATGAATAAAAAAAAACAATATGAAACTGCGGAATATATAACAATATTATATAAGATTTTTAAGTTACAATCACTGAATGCATGTTTTATAAAACAGAGCATTGCAATGCAATTAAATATTGTTAGTTTGTTGTTGTTTTTTTTATAATGATTAATGTTATTATATTAAAAAAACATTAAGAAAATGATAAAATATAATAATATCGAAACAATTACACGAACTGAATTGACTCAGTACGTTTCCATGTTTTTTTTCCCATTAATTTGAATACAAAAAGGCCATGAAAGTCGAACGCACGAATTGTTCATAAAGGTGGTACGTTGCTTTTTTTATGCGTTTATTATTCATAATTAATATTAAATTGTGGGAAGCGCGGAGCATACAAATTTCCACTTGGTCTCGTCTCGCTTTCTCATGCATATTCACTCTTCCATTTCGACTGCACAGAACACACAGACACAAGCAGACGATGAAACAAAAACAATGAAAATCGTCGTTGACCGACGGCGAGGATTTCCACTTGTTTCTACCATTTGTGAATTGTTTATTTGTAGTCGGTCCATCATTAAACTGCTTACAAACACCTGCGTACTGTTTTTCAATAGCAAACTCGTTTTGCTTTGAAGAAATAACGATGCTAAGCAGGCTTCCCCGGAGTGCGAAAGACACGGATATTGAGTTTAGTTCGAGTAGGAGAGAAATGGATGTACGCAATGCTGAAAGGCGCAATGTTACGTGCGATCGACGAGAAGAGGCTAAGAAACCAGAACGGCTCTCTGACCCCAAGAAATATATTAATGAAATTGGAAAGAAGGAAAGAAATGCGTCTGCCGTTCGCGATTACTATTTTATTATGTTCGATTTATAAGTTGAATAAAATAAAAACCATTCTATTTATAATTATTTTATAAATTATTTATTTGAAGTAGTCTTTTTATTGAATGAAAAGCACGAATAGTTCTGGTTTCATTAATTCTGATATAGTATTAAACATATAGTGTTAACAAAAAATGTGGTTCAATTTATACAATCTTTGAAGTATAAAGAAATAATTAATTTCAACATCCTTTTTTTGACATAATTTATAAATAAAAATACTTAAGATCAAGAGCTTGTTGCAATAATTCATACAAATACTTATTTAATACTATAGCAATATCTCACGTTACCCGCATTATCGATATGCAGGACTATTTGAAACCGGACTAATTGAGGAAATAAATTCATACAAAAACAAAACTATGTACAGGAAAAAACATTTATTTGTGTATAAAAAATAATGTATACTAATTTTATGTTATTTTATGAAAAACTGTATACAAAATATATAATCAATAATAACCACAGAAAATAATATGCAATATATATCTAAAAGAAAACATACTTATGTAAGTAACCTATATTTCATGTTTAAAATCGCTAGCAGACGCAGGAATTTGATATTACAGATATTGCTTTATTAATTTTAATAATTTACTGTAATTGGATCAAGTAATGCAAAGTAAATACACAATCCATGACAGATAATCGATTTATGGTGTATATTTCCTAAGTGTATTATTTTGATTCACACTCGACCTATTTTATACGACTTATTAAATTAATTTAGTGCTTTTTTTCACTCTCTTATATTTCTGTGTTGATCGAATGTAATTGATTTACCCATTAATCTCCCGCTTTTCCGCGACGGGGTGCACTTTTCCGTCCATTCTTTCTCCCCGTTTTCTGATAGCCCTAATGCGCAATAAATCAAAAGTAATCTCGTTTCGGGGCCCTTTCGGAATCCGAACATTTTTCTATTGATTCTCGGGCAGCGTATAGGAAATTAAGTTTATATTTCCAGTTTTCTATATATGATATATTTTTTTCTCATCTCATTGTTACAGCGTTTTGTACTCACAGTGTATGTTCAAGGATGCGGCTGAACTGGTGATGGAAAGGCCTTTTTGATCCTGGGCAATGCAAGTGAACTGTCCAGAGTCCCTTTCGCGATCCACGCGGTTGATATGGAGGCTGGAACCACGCTGGAAGCGACGAGTCGTGTTGTAAATCCTGGATCCTGGAAGGAAGGTTTAATCATGAGGATAATTACACACGAACGTTCTTTGATGGGGAGATCGAGCTTACCGTTCAATTCCCAATAGTAGGAGACACCCTGGTTTGGTGTAACCTCGCACGGAAGCGAAACAGATTTCCCGGTGACCACGCTCACGTCCTTCGGCGTCTGCGAGAAGTATATTTCGTCCTGGCCAAACATCGCTGGCACTGCAAAAGCAAAATTAAATAATATTAGATACTGAGGCATTTTTAACGGAAAATATATCAATATTACTTAATTTATATTTCAATTACTAAAATGATTGCTATAAAATAGATATATGTATCTAATATTTTGAATCGCATTGATTAGGATTTAATATGCAAGAATGTATACTGTTAGTTTATAATTATCTTTCTCAAATTAAAGAACATTTACATTTATATATTTCGAAATTATACTTCTAAAATTCAGCATCCTTGTATAATTCCGTACAGCGTTCAAGAAACAAACGGTATTGATAATCATAATAAACTAACTCTCAACATTAAAAATAAATTTAATTCATTTAGGATTTATTAGATAATATCTTTAGATAGTATTTTCTGAATAAAACAGATTTTTTTTAGTATTATATATATTAGTATATACAGAAAGACCTCGTTTAGTGCTTTATATGCGTTCCTGGAAACAAATCGTTAAACGAAACAGCGTTATAAGAGATCATTTTAAAACATATTACTTTAATTTACTTTAATTTTAACACAAACATTTGCACATAGAAATATTAAGTTTATTTTTGTGATGAAGGTCCTGGCTTTTCTGATATTTTAGATTTTTTGGCGATAAAATCGTCTCGAGTCATTTGTCGCTTTCTTTTTCTTTCATTAAGCAAATGTTGGTAGCAAAAGAAATTGGGGTTCCCAAATTGTGCGCCGCTGTTTTCACCCTGAGATAAACCAATCTTTTGTCTTGGGGCGCCGCTGAAAAACTCTGATATATTAAGTACGCCGCAAACCGAAAAAGTTTGAAAACCCCTGGAATAATACACAAAATTTTATATGAACGAAAATTATGGTGTACAATTTTTAATGAGAAAGTAAAATTGTGTATTAGATACTTATTTATTTAAATTAAGCATGGAAAAAGTGACTCTAGTATCCGCATGAAGTTTGACATTTGTCAAAAAAGTTCTTTTAGTGAAATGGTAAAATTATGTAACAATTGTTAGTTTGGTTTTATACCCGCTGACAATTTGTTTTAGATTAATTATTACGGTCGTCATTTTAAAAACTACCTAAAAAGTCTATATTCGAACAATTAAAGATACATTAAAAATGGCCTATTAATAGTAGACAGTAGTAACCAGTAAGATAATGCTAAACCACGTTGCAGTGTTGCTGATGATGAAGTTGTTCGCGCTGGTACTGAAAATAGGTGGAACATAAAAATTATTTGTCAACCACCAAACAACCTCAATTTAAATGTCCTCGATTTGGGTTTCTTTAACGCCATTCAATCATTACAACACAAAGAGTCTGCCCGTCCAGTATTGATGAACTCATTGCGTTCGTGTATAAAGTATGGCATGAAATAACCGCGGAAAAACTAGACAATATTTTCATTATATTGCAGAAGTTTATGGAATTGACTAAGCTTCATAAAGGAGGCAATGATTACAAGCTTCATGACATGAGCAAGGACAAACTGCGTTTGCAAGGAACTTGACCGTTTATAGTTACTAATTTGTTAAATGTTACTCATAAGTGTTAATTTTCAAATGTTTTCCATTTTACGATATAGTTTAGTTATGAAAATACATGTTATATATCCCTTTGGATTGGACACTTATTTAAGACCGGAGGGAGTATTTAATATCGAAATATTTAAATTATAAAAACAGTTAGGAAAAAAAATAATTTGAAATTAAAGAATTGTAAACCCATGTAATGCCATTGTGGGGCATCGGTGTAAAAATAAATACACTGTATAACAACTCGATGACTAAACCATTAGTGGATGCTGTTTCCATTTTTGTTTTTAATCAAGGGAATTAATAGTAAAATCCCCGAATTTTATTAACGTTTGATATTATAGATAACATATAAAATTTGTTTTTTTTTAACACATAATAATGCAATGACCAACTTTTATTTCCAACTATTTTTGTGCCAGAAGTTAATAAACTCGACCTGATTCTGTCAATCTGTCATAAAAAAATAGTATATAAACTGGAAAAACTCTACAATGTCATTAATAACAAATAATTAGTAGTCTTCATTAATTTAATAGATTTTAATGACAAACAAATATTGTCAAAATAGTAAAGCTTACATATTTAACAAAATGTTACTTGATACATTTATACATTTAAATCGATCAATAACAGACACAAACACGTTTTATATTACAATGAACAGAAACATATATTTGTTTCTGTCATTGTATACGTGATCACAATTTGTTTTAATTAAAATCGTTTCGTTTTTCCAGCAGACCAATATTTTAAATTCAGATATTTTGGAATGTTTCATACAAATATTTCTATAGAAATTTGTTGCAAATATAATACACTGAAAATACACAAAATTCTGACTATTACAAATAAATGAAAATAGAAATTATTTTTTGAAATATAATAATAACAATGTTATATTGTACACACAAAACACATACAAAAAGATATATACGATTCCGTCATTATCCCGCTGCTTGAAACCGGACTAATGGAGGAACAAATAAACAAACAAATAAACAGGACAAAATAATTGACTGCATAAAGAGAAAAAAAAACAATAATTTTTGATTATTTTTTTTGTGTACCTTTTAATTTTGTTCAATTAAAATTTAAATTGTTTTGAAATTTTCAAACGAGAGTATAGTGAATCCCCAATTATGCAAAGTATGTTGGTGTTTTATTATTTCACTAAATTATATAAGTATGTTATGTTACATGTCCTTAAATAAATGTAGTACATAAACGTATATTGCACACTATAGAAATAAAATAGGCTTGTTAAGTATTGCTGGTTAGTACGAGTTATATAACATTTATTACACTATAAATCTATCAATTGCTCAAGTACAAATGTCTATTAGGAACATTAAATTAAGCAGTGATTCTGTTCAAATTTAAAATTGATATACGTGTTAACTATTATTTATTATGGTATAAATGTTATATTTCTTTATTAATTGATCCACATACAATATAAAGTGGCCTCATTTATACTACATGAATTTTATATTAATTCTCTGTAAAAAAAAGAATTCATAATTAATGAAAATTTCCATATTCAAGTAGACGTAACTAATTATGAATTATTTGGAATGCACTCGAAGATTCATCTACATTAATCAATACAATTAATCTGGTATTTGAAATTTGAATGTATAATTTTAAAATATTTTATATGTTGAAAAATTATAATATGAGCAAATAAATTATAAAATGCAACGATTATATCACGTCGGCAAATATACTCGTTTCAAAGAATCTTGTTCATGTTAATATATGTGAATTATATATTATTATTATATATAATTATAATAAAATAATGACTTGAACTTCCTTACAATAACTTTATTTATATTTAAAATTAAAACAATTATTTTTTAATTAACGAAATTTTTCATTCTGTAAATAATATAAACAATACCTAGATAGGGCAGTTTCGATTAATGCTGATTCATTATAGTACGATTTGAAAATTACAAAACAAACTACATTTTAATTGAGCAAAATAATTTCTAAAAATATTAGAATACAAACTTATTTTTATACATAAATAATCGTTTTTTTTTTCTTCTTTATACAGCAAATTCTTATCTTATTGTGCAGTTAATTACAAACACAGTATATGTTTTATTTATGTATACAACAACCAATAAAAATATATACAATTTTACACATAGAACTGCGTTAATATTATTCTAACAATATTAACAATACAAAGTATTATCGAGGATATATGATTATTGATTTTTTGTTTCTGTAAAAATATATCGTAGGAAGTAAGTTTCCCTTCGAAATTAACCAAGCGGATATCCTAGTTATCCAACAAAACGACGTTAGGGTCGTCCCCTCGCAAACCCATTACTCAGATTAGTGCGAATTCATTTATTTTGTATTGTAATTTAAATAAGAAAGTTTATTATCTAAATAATGTATGATCAAGATTTATCTACAAAATATACAGAATAATGAGAAAATATTACAATTGAAGCTTTAATTTTTATTTTATTTCAAAAATACTTTAAATATACTGCGATTATGTAAGTTAATTGATCATGTAATTAAAAGACTATGTTTTATATCACTATTATCATTAGCTAAATACAATCTGTCGGTAAGGTCTTCATTATCCGAATCAAAGTCATGATGTCCAAAAATACCGATTGCAATATTTATTTCAATATTTGACTATCTTTCTTACAGTATAGTAGCATTCGAACAAATAATTATTTTGTATGTATATATTTATAATTTTTCTAAATAATCTCTTGCATTTTTTTTATGAAAACTATTTATGTCCATATATTTTTTGTAGCAAACTATTGACAAATTATTCCATATTGTGACTCATACTTGACTTGTAATGCTTCGGTGGATATGTAACCGGTGGAAATTCGCATCAGTTATTTTTAAAAATGTTTTTTTTTTATTGCAGTGAACTGAACTATTATTGTTTTATTAAATATGCTATAATTAAAAACATACTATAAAAATATTCAATAGAAATTATATTTTACAAAATATTGGAACATTTCATATTTTTTCAGTGTGAGAAAAACAAACAGTGCACAAATATATATAAAACCGTGATGTTAATTATCAATCTAAAAAAAATTTTTTTTTCTGGTGAGTCTTAACAAGTACAATAATACATCAATAATGAAGCAATAAGTCATACTTGATTAACATACAAGGACTAGAATGGGTTTATTTTCCTGAGTAAAGAAAATGACAATCTATTTTTCTAACAAACATGTTACATTTAATAAAATTTTTCTTTGCCAACTTACAAAGAATAATCGCATTTTGAAATATAAATCTAAAGTTGAATTTGTCTTTCATTTAACACACAAAAATAAATGTTATCAATGTCATGTAAGCACTTTAAATCAGTGGTCCCAAACCTCTGATCCGTGGTTTAAATGGTACCGGGCCGTCCAAGAAACATTAAATTATTTCCATTTTATTTTAACTCACTAGAATCTAGTGAGT